GACAACAGCCTGGAGAGACATCTCTTTTGGAGCAAGACACCAGCAAAATATCTGCCCCGTGGGCAGAGAAGGAGGAGATGGAGCCAGGTTAGCTGGGTGCAGTCAGGATGAGACAGAGCCCAGGGAGTGAGGACTGGCACTCTGCTCTCAGAGCACTCCAGGCCTTAATGGCCCCCACTGCTTTTTTCTTTCTTACTTTCTTTTTTTCTTTTTTTACTACCTGATCTAAAAAAGCTCTCAGGAAAAAAAAAATTAATTTCTCTTTATTGTGCGGCTTCGCTGTGAACTGATTCTTTTCATCTAAAATTATTCCTTTTTGGTGCCACAATCTGACTTCAAGCTTCTTTGCTGCCTGTGAACATGACACACAGCAGCAGCTAAAGAGGAGGGGACAGGCTGTGTCTGGTCTTTGCAGGGCACCAGGAGGGCTCAGCATGGCTGAGGACGCTGCTTTGGGCAGCTTTTTGCAGTCATTTTCTCCCCCATTTACAGAATTTTTATCTCAACTGGGGAAGGGCTAACAAATAAATTATAAATAGTTAATTTTCCTTCTGTTCAGCCTGGGAATTCAGATTCAAGTTTAGACTGGAAAATCAGAAGGAAATTCAAAGATACTCCGCTTTCTTGATGACTGCAGCTGCTACCTGAACACAGAGATTCCCTGTAGATCCGCGAACAAGGACTTCCAGAAACTGATAAAGATGAAGAAAACTCTGGAAGACCTTCTTGTACCTGCCACCGCCTGCCTAGTTCATCGGATTACTTTCAAATCCCAGGCACTACGTGACTCTTCCCTGTTGGCAGGAGGAGAAAATAGACTCCCTGACTGGACATGCGGAACATGAACGGGGCCACCGCCGCTTTGGGGAGGACAGGCTGCTCCACGGGCACTTCCCCACAAAACCATGGCCTCAGGGGTTCACCCTTCTCTTGTTTTATTCCCAAAGTGTCTCTTTTTTGGTGGCTGGCCTAGAGAGGATGGTGGGTTGGGCAGGTCTTTGGGTGGGCCGCTCCTCTGCACGTGCAATCCCCAATAATTTGGGAAATTAAGTCGCTGGCTGAGTTGCTGGGTTGCTGTCCCAAGGCACTGGGGCAGGGCAGTGTTATTGCACAACGGGATTTGGAGAGAAAACCAGTCGGTTAAATGACATTTTTATGAAACAGAATGAATGAGACTTAATGAGATTTTCTTCCGAAGGGGACAAGGCTGAGGTTTTCAGCCTCCATTATAATGCCCTAATTTTCTGAGCTGTAGCAGTAAATGGGACCCAGGGAGGTTTTTATCCAACATTGTTTCAAAGCTAATTGTAAGGAGTAAGAGGTGGTCAAGTCACCTTCTGATGGTTGGAGGTCCTGGGCTGGAGGTGACACTGCTGTCACCATCCCAAGGAGCCCAGGAGACACAGGCTGTTCATCCTCCCAGGAAGGGACCATTTCATATGTCTCATCTGGCATAGTGGCACATCCATATTTGGCATCAGCAGCAGGGCCCAGAGGAGGAGGAACAGGAGCTTTGGAGTGTGGGGAGAAGCCAAGAGCTGTGTTTAGTGATGGTGCAAACCACTTGCTTTTCCAACAGCCCGTCCAGAGAAGGGTGGGAAAGGAGAGGCACAGGTCTATGGCTGTGATCCTGGTTTCTGTCCTCACATTTAGGATCAGGTTAAGCCCCTGGGACCAGCACTGGGGCTTCCCTGGTGTGCCCACTGCGGTTCCGTGTGCCTCATCCTTCCCTTGGGATTCCAGTTTGCTGTGGGGACGTGGAGGGTGCAGAGCAGGAAGGAGAGGGGTGAGGCTGATGGGGCCAGCTGTGGTGGTGGGAGCAGGTCCCCTTGGCTCTGATTCCTGGGGCTGTGGGTGTTTTGCTGGCCGGAGTGGGCAGCTCTGGAGTCTGCTGGACGTGTGGGGACAGGGCAGTGTGGGCATGGGGAGAAGGGCTGGTCCAGCCATGGGCTGCACTTTGCTGTTGCATTTCCCAGGAGGTGCCATCACCTGTGTTCATGCACACCAAAAATGGCAGGTGATATTTCTTTTGCTAAAGGCATTGCCACCTGTCCTACTTGGAGTGACAGGACAAGGGGGAATGGCTTCTCACTGACTGATGGCAGGGTTAGGTGGGATATTGGAAAGAAATTGTTGACTGTGCGGGTGGTGAGGCCCTGGCACAAGCTGCCCAGAGAGGCTGTGGCTACTCCATCCCTGGAATTGTCCAAGGCCAGGTTTGGCAGGGCTTGGAGCAGCCTGGTCTAGTGGAAGGTGTCTCTGCCTATGGACAAGAGTTAGACTAGATGATCTTTAAGGTTCCTTCCAACCCAAACCATCCTGTGATTCTATAATAATGATAAAAATCAAGCCAGGTTGATTCCACCAGCTCTGCTGGCCAGACCAAGGTGGGCTCAGACCAGCCAGGCAGCTCCTAGGGGGGAACCACCAAACCCTGGGGTCCAGCCTTGGAGCAGGCTGGGGAGGAGGAGGAGGAGGGCAGGAGGCTCCTTGGATCTGGAGGGCAGGTTTGGGGGCCAACCCCTAATTAAAACCTTTTGTCTGAAGTTCCAAACCCTCCATTCCGTGCCTGGTTAATATTTAACAGCTGGGGCAGGAGATGGGAACACAACTGCGGGCCGGGGTTTGGCTTGGTGTGCCA